GGTAACCACCATTCTACTCCCTGTTTCTATAGGGATATTTTAGATTCCACATATAAGTGAGATTATACAGCATTTGTCTTTCTCTGCCTGGCTTATTTCACTTGGCATAATTTCCTCTAGGTTCATCCATCTTGTTGGAAATGGCAGCGTCTCCTTTCTAATGGCTGAAAATACACACACACACACACACACACGCGCGCGCGCGCGCGTGCACACACACATTTTCTTTATCCATCACGGGGATGACAGACACTTAGGCTGTTTACATATCTTGGCTAATATGAATAATGCTGCAATAAACATGGGAGGAAGTGCAGGTATCTCTTCAAGAAACTGATTTTGTTCCTCAAATATATACCCAGAAGTGGGATTGCTGGATCATATGACAGTTTTATTTTTAACTTTTTGAGGAATATCTGTACTATGTTTCATAATGGCTATACCAATTTACATTCCCACCAACTGTGCATAAGTGTTCCTTTTTCTCTACATCTTTGCTAGCATTTGCTATATCTTGTCTTTTTGATAAAAGCCATTCTAACCAGTGAGAGGTGATATCTCATAGTGTTTTTGATTTGCATTTCCTTGATAATTAGTGGTGTTGATCAACTTTTCATGTACTTGTTGGCAATTTTTATGTCTTTAGGAAAATGTCTATTCAGATCCTTTGACCATTTTTAATTCATTTTTACCTATGGAGTTGTATAAGTTTTTTATATATTTTGGATATGAACCCTTATCACATAGATGGTTGGCAAATATTTTCTTTCATTTTGTAGGTTGCTTTTTCAATTTATTGAGTTTTTTCTTTTTCTATGCAAAAGCTTTTTAGTTTGATGTAGTCTAGCTTGTTCATTTTTGTGCTTTTGGTGTCATATGCAAAAAATAATTACTGAGACCAATGTCAAAGAGTTTTTTCCTGTTTTCTTGTATGAGTTTTACAGTTCTTGCGTTTAAGTCTTTAATACATTTCAAGTTAATTTTTGTGCATGGTATAAGATAGGGGTCCAGTTTTATTCTTTTGCACATGGCTATCCAGTTTTCCCAACACTATTTATTGAAGAGACAATCCTTTTCCCATTTTATGTTGTTGGTGCCCTTGTCAAAGATTATATGTGTTGGCCACATATATTTGGGTTTATTTCTGTGCTCTTGATTCTGTTCCATTTGTCTGTGTTTGTTTTTAGGACAGTACCATACCAAGCTGTTTTGATTGCTATAGCTTTGCCATATAGTTTGAGATAAGGAAATGTAATACCTCCAGTTTTGTTCTTCTTTCTCAAGATTGCTTTGGCTACGTGGGATCTTTTATCACTCCATACAAATGTTAGAAGTCTAAAGAAGTACAAATTAGTAGCTGATGGATGGTCACGGGGATGGGGAGCACAGCATAGGGAATGCAGTTAGCATTAATATGTTGGTTAGGAGGAGGGTCAGGGAAGGGAGGGTGCAATGGGAAGATTGTTTTATGAACTATATAGATGTCTAACCAATGTACTGTATACTTGAAACTAAATTTTAAAAATGAAAAAAAATGCCATTGGAATTTTGATAGAGCTTACATTGAGTATCTATAGATTACTTTAGGTAATATGGACATTTAAATATTATTAATTATTCCAATCCATGGTCACAGTATGTCTTCATTTATTTGTCTTCCTTTATTTCCTTATTCAATGTCTTATTGTTGTCAATATATAGATCTTTCACCTCCTTAGTTAATTTTATTCCTAAGTATTTTATTAGTTTCGATGCTATTGTAAATGGGATTGATTGTTTTCCTTATTTCTTTTGCAGATAGTTCATTGTTAATGTATAGAAATGCAGCTGATTTTTGTATATTGATTTTGTATCCTGAAACTTTATTGAATTCATTTATTAGTTCTGACAGTTTTTATGTGGAGTTTTTACGGTTTTCTATAAGTAAGGTCATGTCATCTGCAAACAGAAAGTTTTAATTATTTTTTTCCTGATTTGGATACCTTTTACTTCCTTTTCCTTACCTGAATGCTCTGGCTAATACTTCCAGTACTGTGTTGAATAGAAGTGGTAAGAATGGGCATCTTTGTCTTGTTCCTGATTTTAGAGGAAAAGCCTTCATTTTTTCAGCATTGAGTATGATGTTAAATATGGGCTTTATTATGTTGTGGTACATTCCCTTTATACCCACTTTGTTGAGAGTTTTTATCATAAATTGATGTTGAATTTTGTCAAATACTTTTTCTGCATCTCTTGAGATGATCATATGATTTTTATCCTTAATTCTATGAGATGATCTTATGATTTTAATGCTTAATTCTATTAGATAATCATATGATTTTTATCATTAATTCCATTAAAATGATATATCACATTTATTGATTTACATATTTGAAACATCTTAGCATCCCAAGGATAAATCTCGCATGATCATGGTGTATGATCTTTTTTTTGTGCAGTTTAATTCTGACTGCTAGGAATTTGTTTTAAGATTTTTTCATCTTGTTCATCAGGACTATTGGCCTATAATTTTCTGTTATTGTAGTGTTATTTGTCTGGCTTTGGTATCACGGTAAGGCTGGCTTCAGAACATGAGTTTGGAAATGTTTCTTCCTCTTCTGTTTTTTGAAAGAATTTGAAAGGATTGGTATTAATTCTTCTTTAAATGTTTGGTAGACTTCACTAGTAAAACCATCAGGTTGTGGACTTTTTTCAATTGGAAGTTTTTGATTGCTGATTCAATTTCCTTACTCATTGGTCTGTTCAGATTTTTTGTTTCTTCATCATTCAGTCTTGGTAGGTTGTATGTTTTTAGGAATGTATCAATTTCTTTGAAGTTATCCAGTTTGTTGGCATATAATTGTTCATATTAGCCTGTTTATTTTTATATTTATGGTATCAGTGTAATGTTGCCCATTTCATTTCTGATTTTATTTATTTGAGTCTATTCTCTTTTTTCTTAGTTACTATAGCTAAAGGTTTGCCAATTTTGCTTATTTTTTAAAAACTTCCTCTTTCTGTTGCTGGTATTTTCTATTGTTTTTGGTTTTTCACTTGTTTCTTCTCTGAATGTTGTTATTTCTTTTTTTCCCTAACTTTGGGCTTAGTTTGTTCTTATTTTTCTAATTCCTCGAGGTATAAAGTTAGGTGGTTTATTTGAGATTTCTTTTTTGAAAGGGGTTATTTTGTTTTTTTTTTTTTTGTTTTTAGCACAGAAGTGAACATGATTAATTCTGAACTGAATATTATAGGACTTTTCAAAGAAAAGATATCATCTGATTTGAGTCACCAAACTTATTTTCTGAATCTCTTAGCAAAAGCAATGAAATGATTGCAGTCCTAGTATGTCAAATGGGCACAAATACAGTGGTACTGGGAAATAAAAACTTTTCATTAGCAGATATTATTAATTTTCTACAAATCAGGCAAAGCTGTCAAAGATGGACACTAGAAATTTGGCAATTAGGTTCATCATATTTACAAAAAATAGAACATTAAAAAATACCAAGTACTGCAAAAATATGAGAAGCAGAAACTCTCATGACTGGCTGGCAGTAAAGTTATACACAAAAACAAACCCATTTCAAATATATCTAAATATCAGGATGTTCAGGATGTGACTATCTCTTAATGATGTGAGTATGAGTGACTTTTCTCCTAACACATATTTTATAAATTTCTGTAATGAAAGTATTATGCTGAAAATTTTTATTTATCAAAAAAGTTGTTTATCAATGTAAAATGCTAAATGGCCATGAGTAAAAAAACATTAGAAATATATTAATTACAATAACAATATTCAAGAGAACATTTCAATAGAGGATTGAGAGTAAAAGCAAATTATTAATAACGTGTGTCTTAGAAATTTAAGTAATTGAATGAAAACTTCTGTAGATAGAGTCCTCTAGGAAAAAGTGACTTCAGATTCCTGAGAGTGTCTCATTTTTTTCTTCCTGCTTGACTTTTCTTTCTTTTTTTTTTTATTACAGACATTTATCATTTTAAACTTTCCTCTTAGAATTGCTGTTGCTGTATCTTATGTTTTATATTATGTTTCCATTTTCATTTGTTTCAAGATTTTTTTTTTTTATTTCTCTTTGGGATTTCTTCTTTACCCATTGGTTGAGTTCTTGGTTTCTGTGTTTTTTCTTCTCAGTGTCCTAGCTCCTACTTTTTATAAACCTATAGCTCCCATCAGTGAATTGGTTCTTTCACAATCAAGTACAATTCACACAAACCACTCCTATGATACAGTGAACCTTGCCTTAGCAAGCCCTCAGGTGGAATATCATAAGCCAGTTTCATGCTACTTCATCCCCACTCTTGCTTTGCTTTCAAGTTCCATTTCTATTCTACAGAGATGGTTACCTCATTTGTGAGTGTAGTTTTGTGTTTTTTAAAAAAATTTCCTTCTTATATTGTATGCTTCAGTAGTATGTATTTGGAACAAAGATGGTACCCAATCTAGACAGGAAGCATAACTTATTAATTTTCCATAGAGACTATTATTTCTCTGTGTCTTCGAGAATCTTATACTGATATTAACGTCTTACTTTTTCCCTCTGTTAACTCTTCCCTTAGCTATTGGTTTTCTTAGTGAGAGTTTTGTTTTAGTTATTGATTTTCTTTTGTTGTTTTCGTTCTCTTACATGGATTGGATTTTTTTCTTATGTTTGATTATTCTTAGTAGTAATATTATATAGGATTTGAAAGGATGGATTGGTATAGAAGGAAATGAATGCTCTGAAAGCTGAGCATCAAGGATCCCAAGGCTTTTCTTAGTGATATACTTATTTTTCTGAGATTGAGCACAGCCTGACAATTAGGGGTAGCCAATGGAACCAGAAAAATAAATTGAATTTTGGGAAATATTTCCTATCTTCAAGTTTTATTTAAGTATCTTGTTATTTTGTACTTTTGGCAACAAAAAAGGAACAACCTTTTTACTATTATTAAATGTATTTGCTTCAGTATGTACGCTTTTGGAATAATCATATCAATATTTTTAATTTATTTTTCAGTGTAAGGAAAAAATCAGTGCTTGACTCTGAAATTCAATCTTTGAGGAAACTGAAGTCAAAAAATGATGACTATCTTAAACAACTATACAAGGAATCCTATAACATTGGTGCTATTTTCCACATAACCAAATTTAAAACAGAAGAATTAGAAGAGAAAATAGCAGAAGTGAGAAGAAAATTCAGGGTTTGTATCTCTGTGTTCTTCTTAGTTATTAAAAACAATAATAATCCTGAATCTTATCGATTTAATATTGATAATTAGATTTCGATTTAAGCTATACTAGTCTTTTAAAAACATCACTGCTTCTGATAAATCAGAAGAAAATCACTTCTTTTCAGAAGCCCAGCCTGACTAGAAGAGGAACAGGGCTCAGTGTAGCTAATCAATACGGTGTCTACTTTTTGTTATTATCGACATTAAATTATCTGGATCACCAGAATAGTTGTGTTTGGTTCAACCCCATCCTACATTTGGTAGAAAGAAAAGATGCTGGGAAGTGCCTTGTACCCTTACCAGTGTAAGAAAAGGGAGTACCTACATCAGGCCTGCAAATTATTGGATTTCAGAGCACCAAGCAAAGTTAGTAGACCACAGTATGCAGAAACAACTGCTCATAGGCCTCAACGCCATTTCTAAATGAGAGATATAATGAATAGCCACTCCTGCCATTTTGCGTAGAGACTAGCAAAATCCACTGTTTTACCACACATAGGGACCACTTTAACAGGCTACTTCTGTCCATCACATATCACACCCACACTTCTTTCATCTTTGGTATTTTCTTATTAAAGACTTATGATCATACAATTATTTGTAAAATAGGAATCTGTATTCTATGTCCAAACCCTGTAATAGCACTATTTTTAGTGAAGACTTTGTGCTAGCTAAACTTAGGACACGCAGATTGTCTGCCTGTACATGTTTCTGTATTGAGGGATTGGGGCGTTGTTCCCATGTGGAGTCCAACTGTTGAACTTACTTGATGTATCATGCCTATGTCTCTTCTCAGGGTTGTTCAGTGGATTTGTCGTATCTTATATGTTCCAATATCAGTATGATAAAAATTATGTATAGTAAAAATTAACCTCAAAATTATTTTAAAATCGTAAGGCATGTGACTATATATATACTCTAGCATATATAATAATACTGTTGATATCGCTTATAATTTTCTTGAATTTTTCATTAATATGTGTTTCTCTCTAGCCATCAAATAATATGTTTTTAAGAATATCAATGAGGACATCACCCACTGATTTGGCCCTTAAAAGCATGTTTTAATTTTTTTTCAATTAACAGTAAACCCTTGGTATCATTTACGTATTTTCCCATAGCTGTCATACCGTAGTTTAATTCTTCAGACATACTGCTTCACTAACCTGTTACTTATTAAGAAAGCTGTTGCATTAAATCGTTTACTTTTTTCTAAAATTTCCTGATGCCATAAAATACAATTTGTATGTTAAGTGCAAATTTGATGTGGCTCCACTGTACTTTCTTTGCCAACCCAAAGCAAAGTGTCCCCTGGCTTTATTCAAGCAAAATTGAGGAAATTATTCATTAGGT